GGGAAAATTGGCCTCTGCTTTGTGTTCATGGCCATTATTTTTGGTTCACTTTTGAGTTTTGTTACAGTTTGATTTTTGTGTTTTCCTTCAGTTGTCTTCACTTTTGTTAAAGCTTTGTTTGTTTGATTTATTGTAGAAAATGCATTCAAAAATACCTGCTTCTAAAAGCAAAATGAACGTTGTTGGAAAAGGCGTTAAGTTCAATTATGCAAAAAAAATTGAGGACTTGCCCTCAAACCATGATTCTGAAGCTAATGCAAATGTCCAGGCGCCAAATGATGATGATTTTGAGTCTCCTTCTCCTCCTAAAAACTCGCAACAAGAAAGTAGTCGAATGACTTGTTCGCAGACGAGGAATTCTCCCACTCCAGTTAAATCATCAAGGGACTTACCCTTATCCCTTGCTTCTGAAGCAAATATGCATGTCCAGGCTCCCGATGATGATGATTTTAAGTCTCCTGCTCCTACAAAAAAGTTGCAACAAGAGAGAAGTCGAATGACTCATTCGCAAACAAGTAATACTCCTACTCCGGTTAACATCGTTATAATAAGGATTAGGAAATGTGGGAGACCTGAAAAATTAAAAGAAAAGCTGAAAGTTGATTTAGTTAATGAAGATGATGTAGGCCGCAATGTTAAACCGAAAAGGAGAAAGATCAAGGACAATGGTGAGAGTGGCCTTGATTCCATATCGAAAGAACAAAGGTTTGCTATTCACTGCAAATTGAATGAGAGAAAATCTAAGTTGAAAGTATTCCCTGTGTTGCTATTAATTTATACATGCTTATACAATTTTGTACAAAGTTATACAAATGTTTATACATCTTTATACAAGTACTACTATAGTGATTTATACATTTTTATAAAATGTTTTAGTATACATGATTTATACATGCTTATATAATTTTATACAAAGTTATACAGTTGTTTATACATCTTCATACAAGTACTGCTACACTGATTTATATATTTTTATAAAATATTTTAGTATAGTTTTTGTTCCTGATCTATTTCTTGTTATTTTTCCATAAGCAAGATTAGGGACTTCTATATACAATCAATTGATCATTTCCACAACAGGATTAGTTCCCATACCGAGACTGATATTGTGAGCATTTTGAAGCAATGTTTGACTAACACACAGCTTCAAATGTTCCGTGCTAGTTGTTTTGGGTACTTATTAGACCTCTCTCAATTTAAAATTCAAAATCAACTTATTCATTATATATTATTAAGGGAAGTCGTCCCGGGACGGGAAAGGGAGTTGTGGGAGAAAATTAATGGTTATTTGCTCCGTTTTGGGATTAGAGAGTTTGTTGTTATCATTGGTTTGAAGTGTGTAAAAGAAAATGCCACTTCCTGTGACAAACCAGGTGTTAATAGGTTGCTAAAAGAGTATTTCTAGGAGATGGAAAAAAGGCTATAACGATGGGGCAGCTTCTTGATCGCTTCAAGAAAAAGGACTAGAAGTCGGACGAAGATGTGTTCAAGATGGCCTTGATGGTGTTTGTCCATCATTTAATATTCTCAGATGCCAATAATCATGGTATCAACAAAGATGATTTTGATATTATTGAAAGTGGTCAATATCAGACGTATGTTTGGGGAAAAAGTCATTTGAATATATTTTAAAGACAATAAGGGATAGACAGTGTGACTATTTAACAATGTATAGGCTTGGAGGTTTGCCACTTGCATTATAAATATGGTTTTTTGAATGTTTCTCTATAGTTGACAAGCATCTAGCTGTTCGTGTTGGCACAAATGTACCATGCATTGTTAATTGGAAAGTGACTGAAACTACAACACATGCGGATTTGACTGGCGGGGTGATCATGTGTAGTATCGACAAGGTAAACATTTTGTACCATAATACTTCTTCATATATGATTTCAGTTTTTCTGTATGTATATTTATGAATATATCACAATTTCCTTTTTCTACTATTGTAATCTAGTTTTTCTTCTTGTAGTTGAACTATAGGAACACTTTCCCTACTCGTGAAGAGATGTCAACTCTGAACATCGACACGATTTTTGAAGTTAATATTGATGATGTTGCATCAGGGGAGGTGCATGTGGTGTCTGCCTTTCACACTGATAATTTTATCACTGCATCTCCACCTTGTCCTCAGAATATGGAGCAATATTCTAAACAACCTTATCCTCAGAATACGGAGCAACAGTATAAAATAGATCGATATCCTAACCCGAGTTATGATCCTTTGGTGCACATTGATCTGTTGAATGCTGAAGTTGAGAAGTTGAGGAGTGCTGTTGGAAAGGTACTGGACCTTTAGCTTTTCTGTAGTTTATCAGTACTTTTTGTATATACTTAGTTTTTTTGTTTATAAACATGGTTGTTTATTTGCTTTTGTTGTTTTTTTTGTTGTAGTTGACTGATACAGTGATGACACTCAACAATTATATAGTTTCTTCCTTTGAAAAAGTGTTCAGTTTTCTGAATATGGAGGAAACCAAGCAAATGAGGGAGGATGTTACTGATTCTAAGGTAATTGTTTACTGATAAAATCAAATCACTCAACAGTTATGCCTTCTCTGAATCATCACTCAACATGCCTTCTCTTTCTATTATTTTTTATTAGATTCGTCAGCGCTTGTCTGATGACAATACATCTGGTCTCGGTGAATTTGATGGCTATCAATATGATGTTGTTCCTGACTTTGTCAATCAAGTGAATCAAGATAACGTGCTAGCTGACGAGGGAGTTACTAATGGTTTTGATCATGGTTTTTGTTCTGCATTTTATCTTTTTTTTCCTGGTTTTTCTTTTCTTCATTTTAAAAGTTTTTTATTATTTGTTTTCCCTGTCTAAGGGGCAGCAGGTGATGTCAAGGGTGACACATTTTGGGATGACATTGGCGATGAAGATTTAGCTGCGCTACAAATGTCCCAAATTGTGCTTCAAAAATAATCCATCATAGACGTAGAAGATGATTACATTTCTATTGAACAGTCAGTTCGACAGAAAATACCATGAAAATATTCCAAATCTCCATATTTGCCAGTTTTTGATTTCGGGGCATCAGGATCGGTGCTCAAGCTCATTTTTATATCAAGCATCCTTTCACGATCGAAATTGATGATTTTGATCCATTTCCGCCATTGGCTAAAGAGTTTTGCGCGTTTGTTGATAATGGGATGGATACGAGGCGAAGGTATCTTCACGTTCTTTAATCTTTCATGTTCTGATCTTATACTTGTTAATGAATGTAGTTTTGATTACTTTTTATTTTTTGTGATTTGAAGTGCCAAAAATATATATCCCGATGAAGTAAATAAGCTTGCGAAAGCTTTTACTTTTGGCTCGTGTAATGTGACCACGAAGGATTGGTTTCATTCACTTGCATATTATGGTCGACCTTTCATTAACACGGTATTTAATAAATTTCTATTCTAATGCATTTTTTATTTGTTGTATATCTTTATTGTTTAAGACCCTCATAGTGTATATATAGCTTTATATAATCACAGTATAAGATTGTATAACATTGTATAAATATGTATACCTCTGTATAATAGTGTATAAATTTCTATTAAAAAATCTAGTAGTGATGGTTATTCTGTTTTATTTCTTGTCTCAACACTTGGATGTCCTCTTTTATTATTTGAGGGAGAGGGGAAAATATGGGCCGAGTGTTGCCATGCGATTTACTACAACCGACTTGCCTTCGGTAACAAAATCAACTCCTTGTATAAAGATTTCAAAGTGAATCAAGATCCTTTAGTGATTCCTGAAAGGCATGAGATAGAAGAGTACATTAGAGGATATTATTGTGATTCAAATGTCCCGTGGCACACTGTTGACCACGTCTTATTTCCTTTCTATGTGAAGCACGGAAGATCAAAATTGGGCCATTGGGTTTTGGGGGTGTTTATGTTCATAAATAGGTGCATCCACATCTATGGCTCCAACCGTGGAGCTATAATGTTAAAATTGCTTTGGATGCTGCATTACCTTATGTAATTCTAACACCTTACTTTTTGAAGAGTTCTGATTTTTATGTCGAGAAGAAGGGCATTGATTGGAACAATGGTGCATATACCGATAAATCTCATTTTGATGCTTTGCAGATTAATCTGGTTAATAATATTCCCCAACAGATCAAATGGTAGGTTAATTTCAATTGTTTTACTATTTTACTATTAGTGTACCTATTTGAATCTGATTTGTTTCTTTTTAATTACAGTGATTGTGGTACTTTTGTTACTGGTTTTGCCGAGTATTTCATCCTTGGTAAGGAAATTTGAAAAGATAATTTTGATATTGAGACACTTCGCACCAGGTGGGGATCTCTGTTATGGGATTATGGAAGGAAAAAATAACAGTCCGGTGCAATTAGTGGTGATGAAATCACAGGGAGACTTTTCAAGAAGAGGAAGAGGGGGCGACCGAGAAAGTAGTTTAGTTTTTTCCATTTTACTTTAGTTTTTCTAAGTATAAGGATTTGTTGCCTAGTTTTGTCTAAGTACTATTCTACTACTTATGAGATAACCTTAAAGGATATGATATATATTTTTATTTTTGTGTATTTGTGGTAGTCATTACACATTGTGGCTGTGAATGAATTACATTTTAATGAATATTTTAGTTGCTTTTTGTCCTTTAACAAAATATGTATTTTCATTATAGCTGCAGTTTTATTTATGTAGCAGGATTTATACATATGTATACAATAATATACATAGTTATACAAATTTATATAAACTTATACTCTCATTTATATATCTGTATACATATAATACCATTGATTGTTAGCAGTTTTATTTTGTATTTCTATAATCTATCAATATATTTAGTATCATTAAAAACAACAAGACACTATTATTGGATAATCAAAATATGTATAATAAAACATGTCAATTGCTTGTGAAACTTAACTACTCAAGCTTTGTAACTCTATTGTTTGTGAAACTTAACTACTCAACATGGCAGCAAATGTAATAGGAAGTGTTATGTTTTCAACTATTTATTTTGATCAATTCCTACATGTTTTTCTATTGTGATCACCTTGTCCACACACAGAACATGAAAACGCCCTCTTAGACTCTTTTTCTGAAGCAGGTTGGAGTCTTTTCTTTCTTGGCCTTCTTGCATTCCTTCTCCCTTTAGGTGGTAGGACCACATCTTCCATCACCTCTATTGGGATTATCCATAAACTCTCATCCGACATCGGATTCACTAGAAATTCAAAAGTTCCAAGGAGTTTATCCTTCTTGTAGTAAAAAAAGCAATATTGACCAGGTTTTAGCTGTTGGTTCTTCAATATCGCCCAAGCATCTGGACATGGAAGTTCATCCATTTGAAATTTTCTGCAACTGCATGTTCCCTCTTCAAGGCACACTATGTTTCGACTTACCTCTTCAAACACAATATATAACTACTACGTAGCATGCCTCACCTACAATTTTTTTTAAAGTTAAAGAACATTATACATTATTATACAAAGTTATACATCCTTATAGAAGCAGTAAAATGCAAGTCAGCAGTGCCAGACATCATTATATTTGATTCATTTTACTGTCATTTGCTCCGATTCAATCAGGTTTTCCCGAAGGAGTTTGTCGTACCTTTTGCCAAGCACTGTAGATGTCTTCATTGCACTTTTTCTATTTTTGTTGTTCCACTGTTATAGCAAATTTGTCATGTACTCCAGCAATTGTATCACTGGTAACTCTCTAGTATCCTTGTTTGCTGCATTAATTGACTCTGCAATATTGAAAGTCATTACCATCAACCTTTTCACTTTGGAATATGCCCTAGACCACCTTTCGCAGCCAATTTTGAAACAAGTAAGGCTGTACTCTCGGATAAATTTTGCAAATCTCTGTCATATGGTACTCAAACTTCTCTATCGTATAAGCTCAAGCCAAATCAAAGAAGATATCCTTCAATTGTTTGTGATATTTCTTGAATGTGCGCTTTATATTCTGCCACAAGTGAAACATACAAATACAATGTGGTACTTATGGGTACACAATTTTTGTGGCATTGGAGATGCTTTCATTTCTATTTGAAACTATAGACATCCTTTCCCTAACTCCAAAAGTACCATTTATCTGGACAAAGAACCACTCCCAAGATTTGTTATTCTCTGAATCTATAATTGCATATACAAGTGAAAGGATTTTTCTTTTTTATACAAAATAGCTATTAGGATTCAGACAATTATACAAATCTTGTACACAGTTATACACAATTATGCAATTTTATACCAACTATAAATTTTATAAAAACAGTAGCTGTGAAATCCTGTACACTTTTATACATGAAACTACAACATTATACAAACTGCAGAAACAAGGTAGATGCAATCAACTCACCAGCTCTATCATGTGTGCAAGCAGTCAATATGGTATCCATATATGCTGCTTTAAGGAAACTTCCATCAATAACCATTATCGGTCTGCAATGCTCCCAGCCCTTGATATATGCATATAAGGAAAAATATGCATAAAGAAAGCATCCATCTTCTGATTTGTGCAACTTTGTAACCATTCCTGGATTTGTTTGCTCCAACATATAAAAATACTTCGCTCCAACATATAAAAATACTTCGACAACTCCTTATATGAATCACTCGGACTCCCTCTTATCATTTCCATTGCTATCTCTTTAACCCTCCATGCTTTCATGTAGCTCACTTCAATCCCGTGTTGCTTTTGTATGTCCTCTATTATATAATTTGCGGTATAAACTTTTTCGGATTAACATACTTGTCCTTGACTATACTAGAAATTATACCCAAGTAGCTTGACGTTGTGTTAAGTATCTTTCACCATAGCCGCATGTGTGATTATTATTGTAACTTCTCACTTTGAATATGTTTGCCTTGAAAACATCAGAAGATTTGAAACTCCAAGCACAATTGTCATCCATGCACATAAGGCGATACCTAAAATTAAAGATCATTCAACTTCTAAATACATTTGTATACAAAAATATAACTACATATATACTAATTTTAATATATATATATAAATATATACTACTTTATACATATTTATACATATATATAACAGAATATACAATTATTTATATATCTTGTTGCGTTTGATCTTCACCTTGAATTGGAACCTCTCACGTACAGCCAAGTTCTTCATCACACTGGCAACTGTCTCTTTATCCTTATAAACTTGATCTTCCTCAACAAATTTATTCAATATATCATCTATTATACCCGTATTTTCACTAAATTTCGTATTTTCAATAAATTTGATATCAATAATCTCAATGCTATCAATTGTGGATACATCTCTAGAATTTGAACTTGTAGCAACCAAACAGCTGGAACTTGTAGCAATCACACAACTAGAACTTGTAGCAACCAAACGATTATCATAAATCTCTTTCACTGTCACAAACAAGGGATATTCAGTAAAATTCAAATTTTTCTTCTTTAATTCGATGTACACCTTAACACCTGTATCGCTATAAATCAGGATCGGTGGCAAACCAATATTTGGGAGAAAGTTAATCTCTATTGTGTTTAACTCACTATCGATCATAATATGTTCCGAAATAGCTGCAACTAAATTGTTGTAGCTGAATATTGACCCGATTATTACACAATCGCTGGCAAAATTAATAAACTTGTTTTCTTCCCATTCACCACTATGAAGAACGTAAACTGGAAAATTCTCCATCAAACAAAAAATTGAAATCAAAATTGCAGCAAAAATAAAATGTGCTGATTTGTAGCAAAAAAAATTTACTTTTCGTGTTTGATTTGCTGTTAATTCGAGACGAAGAAGAAATTCTAGGGTTTTTGGAGCTGTATTGAACGCAAAATCTCGTTTTTGAAGTATTTGGGGAAGAAGATTGGAAAGAATCAGAGAAAATCCAGAAAATCCCGCTTCTTACTTCCAGAAAACCGAAAATAACACCTTTTTTTCGTATATGGGCCTCTAATTTTTAGGCTACTCAATTGTAAATTAAAATATGGATTATAAAGTTGAAAAGAAGGCAACCCAGTTACTTTAATATGATTTTTTTTTGAGTTAATATGAAATTTTACCAAAAAGGTTTTAACATGTAATAGTAAGTTCAGTATTATTTTTACTAGATTATCAATTAAATATTTATAACGAGATTTATTTATAATTATCTAATAATTATTCTTGTTCTGAAAAGAAGAAAAATAGTACTCATAATTGATTATTGATTTTGTTTTATTTTCCATTTATGAAAGTTTTAATTTTCTTCCCTTCTTTTGCATAAAGTGTTGATGAACATGCTTATTTTTTGCTTAAGAAGAGAAACAAAAATGTGCAGGTGCAATAACAATGCACGCTAATTTTCTGTAACTGTCACGTGATATCTTCTGTACGTAGCAAATCAGCTAAAGGCCCAATCCCAAAAGTGAGACACAGCAAATCCCGCCCGGAAAGAAGACCCAAAAAACACAGTAAATTACCGACTGACACTTAAATATCCCCATTTAATTCTCTTCACGCAAAAAATGTAACAGAGAGTGGTAGTCTCGCAAATTACTTAGAATCTGAGGGTTAACTTAATGTTTCTGGTACTAGCTTTAGGATATCTGTTAAGCGCAAAACGTTTCAATGGAAAAAGATGAGAAACTCTTGCTTTTAGTCCCAAAGTTATTCATAAATTTCGATTAGGGTCCTTTGATATCTAATATAAGCATATTAAGACTTTAGTTATTTTAAATGTCCACTTTTGAATTCATGTATATTTAAACTAGTAACTAAACAATTACCTTGTGCTATGTTAAATTTTACTATCTACTTCGAGTGTCATAATTCCTAATACCCAATTCAATTCATATGATATTTCTTTCATGTTGAGATGTTAAAACTAAAAATTAAGATAGTTAACTATTCAAATTCTTAAATAATTTCTTTTATAAAACTGTCGGTTCTATTATTATTTTTTATCTCACTTTGAAAACACTATACCTATTTCATGGGAAGGAGTATCTTGGCGTAACTGATAAAGTTGTTGTCATGTGACTAAGAGGCCACGAGTTCGAGCCGTAAAAATGGTCTCTTCCAAAAAATACAGGGTAATGCTGCATACAATAAACCATTATAGTCCAACCCATACAAAAGGATTCCGTGCATAGCGAGAGCTTAGTGTATCGGATTACCCTTTTTATACTTACTTCATGTGTTTCAATGCATCTTTCCCCATGTTGAAATGTTAAAAAATATTCACATCATTTTTTAAATTTCATAACTTTTCAAATTTCACATTATATAATACATAATCTAATTAATAACTTAGATTTCGTATCAAATCAATTACCTTCTAATCAAAATGAGGCGGAGGGACAACAAAAACAGATCAAATATAGCATATTTTCTTATATAAAGGGATTAACATAGCATATTTTTTATGTAAGGGATCAAATACATATTTTAAGTAAGTTAACATGCTGAATGTGTTTGAGTGAAGTATTATTGCAAAGAGCAAAATAAAGATTTATCAAAATAACCGAAGGACTAAAACTGCAATTATCCAAAGAACACACAAAACGTTTCCGATTTTCCACTTCCTATAAATACCCCAACAACCCAGCGGCGTTACTCCTACTTTTATCCAATTCATTTTGCATTTCTGCTTTCTCTCTCTAGCTCTTCTTCTTGTCCATTTCTCCTTCTTCTGTACGTCTCTTTTTCTCTCTCCTAGGGTTTGTAGCAATGGCGCTAGAAGAAGCACAGAACGGAGGAGCTGATGAGAAGGAAGCAACTAAGACCGCCGTCGCAGCGGTCACTTTCACGGCGGTGAAGCCACAGCTGTTCGTGGAGGCACCGAAGGCGAACGACGCCGTACAGTTCTACAAAGCTGCTTTCGGTGCTGAGGAATTGACACGTGTCAACCAGAAAAGGAAGGCGGAACAGGAGATACCTCTCCTCTCCTCCGTTGAGCTCAAGCTTGGTTCCTCTTCCTTCCTTGTCTCTGACCTTACTGATGAGGACTCTTCTGCTCTGTACGTATTTCTAATTATTTATTTATTTTTTGCGTATTTTTGCATGTTTTCGACTTGGTTTCTCATATTTGTTTCTAAAAACCTTCCGATCTGTGATGTAAAAAGCTATTTATTGAGTTTCTTAAATAACATTTGGAAAAAAATCAGAAAATATAATTATGCTGTAGATATTTTGAAGAGCAATAGGTGTGTTGAAATTTTAATGAGTGCTTTCCGGAAAGTATGTTTGACAAAAAGTTATACTGTTTCTCTTGAAATTTTTTGAAAATGTTCTCACAAGTAAGACGCCATTTCAATGCTCTGTTGACTATTTGTATGGGTCATTATTAGGGTATTTGTTCTGTGTTTTACGTTTTGTACCTGCTTTTGTGATTTGAGAAGTTGCTAATCTGAGATACTTTTGTATGCTTCTGACCGTGAAGTTTTTTTCTTAGCTTTAAATATTTTGAAGAAATATAAGGTTAATAAAAATTATTTTAATAATTTTTTTGGAAACATTAATTGAAAATGTCAACAAGTATTAAGATACAAACGCCATGTTAGCATTCTATCAACTTGCGTTTTTGATGATGTAAAGGTCTATTTGCTGCGCGTGTTTTACGTTTTTAAGCTACGTTTGTTTATTGTGAAGTTGCTGATGCGAGATGATATTTATAATGCTTTTGGATTCGGAAATTTATACTTCTGCTGTAGATATTTTTGAAGGAACCTTCAACATTCGTGGTAATTATTTTGAAAAAACTTTGGAAATAGTGTTTTGAGGGAAAAACGTTTAACAAATTTTCACATAAATTGTCTTACGATCTGTCTACTTGTGTATTTACTGACCGATATTCAGGTGTATTTGCTCTTTGTATAATATTTTATATGTTTAGAAACTACATAAAATTACTTTTAAATTAAGTCACTATTTTATATAATATTGATTTTTTTTCAAGCAATTTTCCATTTGCTCTCTGGTCAGTGTCAAGGCTGCTACTACTGGATGTGTTTTCTGCTTGGAGACTGAGGATGTGGAAGCTGCTGTAGCCAAGGCTGTCTCTGCTGGCGCTGTTTCTGGGGGCGAAATAGCCGAAGGTGATGGTGCTACCTACTGCGGTGGGCGCGTGGGAAAGCTAAAGGATCCTTATGGCAATATCTGGATGATTTGCTCTCCTGTTAAGAAGTCCGAGTAAATGCAATGCCCCAAAGTCCACAAGTCTTCAATCGTCTCTCTTTTGCTGCTTACTCTTGTTCAGTACTACTTTTGCTTTATGTCTTTAATGAAATCCGGTTTTCTAATACCGGAGAAACTTTGATACAACTCTAGCTAGGTGTTAATGGAGGGGTTCAGTTCGACAGTTTGGCATATTGTTAATTTAGAACAGTGAAAACTTTTATCTGTAGTTAATCTGACATCTTCCTTCTAGTAGATGATTTCTGCTTGTTACTGATTAATTACAGT